GCAGCACATTCTTTGAAGGCGCGGCATCCCCTCATCAGATGTCATGAGCATTGCATGATATTCCATTTATACTCCTTACAGAGCACCAGCAAGGGGCTCCAAAAAAAAACTGCTTTTAGTATTTGCTGTGGCGTGTTAAAGACACCCTTGGTGGCTGCTGTGAACCTTGCATGTAGAGGGATTTAGCCCGATTTACAGCATGGTGTGTGCAGGATCAGTTCTGGCTCTGGAGTGTCTCATGTGGACTCTCTCAGGGGAGCTGCAGGGGGAGGACCAGAGGCCACTGATTGATGGTCAAGGACATCGAACCCCTCCCCCTACCCTCTTGCTCAGAGGAGCCCATCTCTGAAGTCGTGTCCTCAGGGGGATTGGGATGCTGCCTGGCTGGCTGCCGTCTGTGCGTTGCTTGTGACAGCCTGCTTGGAGGATACGACCAACTCAAGGGATGAATCATCCACTAAAGGACAAATTAATGAATTGGAGACTTAATCCAATCTAAAAACATGGGAGATTTTTTTTTCTTTTCTTCTTGCCTCTCGCATTTTCACATGTGCATTACGGAACATGTATGAAGCTTAAGACGAGAAAACACAGGATGGAGGATTTCTGAATGGAGCACATGTTTTCACAAACCCAGAGCGCACAATATTGAAATGCTGAAAAGAGGAAAGGAAAAGTGCTCACACTATTACTTGATGAATGATGATGTTCCAGTGAATCACAGAGCAGTGCATAATATCTGAGATGGTACTCAACACAAACCCTGCATCGAGTGTCACTGTTGCATATTTCAGTATGATTCATTATCCGTGTCAACAGTGACTGAGGTTCAGGGCCTTAGCATTTGTTGTGCATATGATATGTGGGTGACAAAACTGCTGTTGATGGAGATTTGGGAGGGATAAGGGGGAGGGAAGAAGGACGAGAGAGAGATTGGCTCGTACTCCCAGCACACTATTTAAAGCTGATGGCTCCAGTCCAGAATCAGAGGAGAGAACCAGGGATTGTTATTTTCATATGACTCCAGCTAGTGCTGGGGAGGCTTCAGTTTTTCATTTCAATTCTGTTGCAAAACAGTAATTGAAGTGTATCGCTTTCATCTCCACTTATCTCCCCTGCTCCTCCCCCTTTGGAGCGCCGCTTGTCTTCCCAGCGTTTGCGCATCTTGACACTGTTGGTTTCTCTATGATATATTGTCTGGGATTCTGTTACTTCATTGTAGCTCGCTGCTGATGTACATGGCAATTAAATTCAAACCCCCCAGCCACCACCCCCCCCTCTCTCTCCTGTCCGCTGCTGCTGCAGCCTCACACTCGCACCTCTTTCAATCACTGTCTTTTATCCCAGCTCTCTCTTCTTTGATTCCCCCTTCTTCTCCCCCGTATGTGTCTTTCTTTTGCGCTCGCTCTCTGTCTTTGTCTCTTTTTCCCTTCTATTCCCTTCATGTTAATAAGCAGAGTAATGGTGTTGCAGGCAGTTCCTGTTTGGGGAGTTAATTAAAATGGCAAGTTACAACCCACACAGTCAAAACAATGGAGGCCCCTGTTTTTCGCAGCGACACAGGGAGATATTAAACAAGCCCAGAATCAAACACTGTTAGGAGGCAGAAACCCAGTAACACTGACTATACCCCAGCTTGAATTAACACTTCCCGTCCTACAGTAGTGAGGGGTTTCTTGTTACGCTCTCCAGCCCAGTCAACATTAGTCATAGCAGAGATCCAGTAATTACTTTGCAAGCTCCTGAACTGAACTGCTGCATGAAAAGCAGTTGTGTACAAGATATTAATGTGATTACTGCAGCATTTACTGAGCCAGAAAGTACATTGACACTGACCAGATGAGAAACTGAAGATGGGAAACAGTGACATCTGCCTATTCCCCATCCATCAGCACCTCTCTCTCACACACACACACACACACGCACACAAACCCCAAATGATTTTGCTAGCGTGGCTAGCACAATGCAGCTCACTCAGGCTTCAGCAACAGTGGGCCGGCTGAGCAGGACAGGAGCTGTTGCCATGGTTACATTTCTCGGCTCGCTCTCACAGCCCAGGAAAACTGTGTCATTATCCTGTACTTTGGATTGGAGAAGAGAGAGAGAGAGAGAGAGAGAGAGAGAAGGAAAGAGAGAGGGAGGAGGGATACAAAGAGATAGCGAGGCAGAAAGGGAAGACAAAGATAGAAAGCCAAGGAGAAAGGGGGGGGGGGCTGCAGTTCACGCAGGCCAACCATGCATCTAACACACACATCATCAAAATTTGCACCCGTTTGTGCTCTTCTAGTCACTACTTTTCCTTTTTTTTTTTACCCTTTTTCATTCTGTCAGTGGAGCTATAGTTTTCACTCTAATAGGTAAACAACTTCAATCCTGACAAATAATGCTTGAAAATATCAGGAAAAAGCAGTGCTGTGGTAGGCGATAATGGGATATGTGGCTTTTTTTTCACTCTCTCACCGGCATCTCCTGTGAAAATTGTCACCAACAAGCTATTATGTTGGTAAAAGAAGATCAGTCTCTGCATCATTGTATTTATTTTAACACACCAACAGCCATGTGCCACTCTAATGACAACCAGCTCGGGTTCTTATTGAATAACTACACTGTCCACAGTGACAACAGCACAGTGGGATCCTCTTCCTCTAAATGTGCACCAACGAGCCGTTTGTAACCCTAAAAATACATAAAGGAAAGCACTTTAATGTTTGTGATTGCGTCTCTGTGAGTGCAGTATGTGTGTGTGGTTATGCTGTTGCTTTACTCAGTGTGTTTGTGCAACGTGAGGTCCACATCAGAGGAGTTACATTGTGAACTAATTACATGGCCGTGTAAATAGAGGCACCCTGCTGATATGGGCTGTGCACCACATGATTTCCCCTGGTAGAGCAGAGCCTGTTTGCGCTGTGCTATGTGTGTGTATGTATGTGTGTGTGTGTATGTGCAGGCATGCATGTGACCTGTACATGCAGCTATGTGTGTGTGTGTGTGTGTGTGTGTGAGTGTGAGTGTGAGTGTGAGTGTGAGTGTGAGTGTGAGTGTGTGTGCTGATGGAGAGCATGTTTTGTAACCTGTGAGGTGTGCTTTATTGAGCTACAAGCTAAAAGAGTGTGTCTGTTTTGAGGAGGCACAGTAGCCCCTCCAAATGAAAGGCTGCCCTCTCCCTCTCTGCCCGCCTGACGCAGCTCTCCAGAGAGCCCTGTTCATATTACTGTGGCTGTCTGCTGCTCAGAGAAACACAAACAGCACAAAACAAAGCTGCCTTCAGTAGGAATGTGAAGAAAAGACCTCGTGTAGCCCTCATCTATTCTCTTCTCTCCACTGATGGCTTTTTTTGTACCACTAATATGGAGGAGAGGAAGGGGGAATAAGTGTTTTGACACCCAACTAGAAAAGAAGGAGAGAGGAGAAAAGTATTTTAGAATATTTCAGAATCAGTGGTAAAAAAAGTTTTAAGTTTAAAAAAAAAAAGAAAAAAAAAAGAAAAGTGCATTCAATTATGTGCAGATTGATGTGCCTTTACTTTAGTTGAGTACTTCTACTCCACTACTGTCTGAGGTCCTTCAGATTAAAGGCACTGCACACTCACACAGGTGTTTTCACTTACTCATGCTGATTAGACCTGGAGTCAGGTATAATAATAGGGTAAATTGTCTCACCCTAACATTAACATGTGCAACAAAACCACCAGGAGAGTGAGAGAGCTGTCCATCCAGCCTAGATTGTACACACCTCCAACCAGTTCAGAGAAGAGGTCTGATGATGGAGCATAATTGACAACACCTGTGTTAGTGGATTTAACATGAAAGAACAGATACATTGTTGAGATTAAGCCAACTTAACTTGTGACCTGTTTCAATAAAGCAGTGTCTGGTTGTGGCCCTTCATCACGCTTCAGATGTCTATGAGTTGTTAGCAGTTCCACCAAACACAATTCCTCTTTCATTTCAGTTACTGTTTGAGGCCCCAGAGGTAATATTTTACCAAAAAAATTTAAGACAATTACAAAAAAATAAAGAGAGGTTTGTGTAGGAGACCATCTTTTCTACCCCATTAAAGGAAAAGTTTATTTTGCAAAATGTGCTTATTCGATTTTGTTGCCAAAATGTTAGATGAGAATGATTGATACCACTCACATGTCTATTTGCTGTATGAAGCTACCACCAGCAGCCTTCTATTTTAAAGACTGGAAACGGGAAAACAGTTAACCTGGCTCTGGCCAGAGGTTAAAGAAAAATCCGCCTATCAGCACCTTTAAAGCTCGCAAATAAACACATTATATCTCCATTGTTTAATCAGTAAATCTTAATCTCTAAGTGTAAAAACAACTATTTTCCGCTTTAGTCTTATGCACTGCCCTGGTATCGGTCTTCTCATCTAACTCTTGGCAAGAAAGCGAATAAGCATATTTTCCAAAATGTTTCCTTTAATCATCTCACAACTCATCAGATTTATCTTGTGACCCACAGGAGGGGGGCTAACCCCAAGGCTGGGAACCACTAAACCAAAGAACCTAACTGTATTTAAAGTAGTTAAAACTAGCTCCACTGGCTACAGCAGAAAATTTATACGCATGTACTGATGCTTCAGTATTAACAAGGGCCACTTTTCTGGAGAATGAGTACATTTACTTTTGATATTTTCAGTACATTTAACTGAAAATATTTCTGTACTTTTACGATATTAAATGCAGAATTTTTATTATTAATGGAGGTATTTTAACATTATGGAGATGGTACTTTAATTTAAGTAAAGGATCTGAGTACTTCTTCCACCACTGTTCACAATATACAGTGGCACCGACCTTGCAAAGTATCGCTTACAAAAGTGTGCAGCCAAGGAACCAGCTCAAATCAGCGACAGTTGTACACTAATTGCAGTTTTTACAGTCTCATTTTGATGCACCATGCCAAGCTGAGTGTGGGTTTGTGCATGGTGGGTGTGGCAGAGTGAAAGTACAATCACAACTAATCAGAGCCTCTCTTGTTTCCTGCCCACAGCACCCAACACTGCACCCTATGGGAGCACAGGAGGCGCACATGTCCCGCTGGCCTGCCGATACCTGGTCCTGGCTCTCTCCTCCTTCATCAGCGTGTACTAGCAGAGGCCAGCCCAGACACAATGACTGTCGAGAGCATTTATGAATCCCTTTTGACATTGCTGATGGCTGGATTCCAATCTGGTACAGTTTGTTGAAAAGCCGAGTGGGGAAAATAATCAGCGTTACTGTGTGGGGAAATTTTTTTCTTTACTTTTTGGTGAAATTTCTGTCATGTAAATACTATGATGTTTTTTTATTATTATTATTTCCTCTCTAGTTTTTTTTTTTTTTTTTTTTGTTTATCTTTTGTTTTCTGATTGATTGACCACCTTGTGAATCAGTGCTCACCCCTACCCCCACTCCACTTCCAATCATATCAAAAGCCCCCCCAAACCTCCTAAATGAGATACTTTCATGCCTCTTTCTCTGGGAGGCGATGGCGCAAAATTGACATTTCCATCCATTTTTGTACATGGCTAAAAAGAAGCAATTGTGCCAAGTCTCTCAGTACGCAGAATTACCATACCAATGTTGTATTGAATGTATTATGGGTTGTTGAACAAAGGAAAGACATTTAGATTCCTAACAATACAAATTTTGATTATGGAGTGTGCTTGAAAAATACAGAAAAAAACAGGAAAAAAAAACAAAATAACAAAAAAGGCAGGGCTTTTTCAGGACCTGTATTGTCATGATTACTCAATAGATGGATGAACAGTGTTGAAGGTGTGCTTTGTGTATTCTGAAATGGGTCCTTCAGTTACTATGCCTGCCTAACAGCTTTGATCAGGCAGCCGTCAAAGTAGCAAAGTATACTGTATTGTATCTTTATATTTTAATATAGTGTAGGCTTTTGTTTTAAAGTGGGACCAGCTTTTCTCATTCGACCAAGAACATTAACACAGTTCACGACTTTGTACAGTATGAAGGGAGGAACATCGCTGCCCTATGTTTACATTTTTCTTGAAAATATAAATATTACAGTATATTCTCCATACTTTTGTTTTGGTGAGTCCACATACGTGAATGTCAGAACAAACTGAGAAGAAAAAGCAGAGCCCAAGTTCAACTGTTTTAAGCTTTTCTCTTAAAGATGCAGCTCTTTGAAACATACCAACTCCAGTAGGCGTTTAAACAGAGCATTTTGTCTCTGAATTTGCTGTGTACCTACTGATCATCTCCTGGCTGAAAACCCACAGCTGCACACTGTAGGTCGCTTGAAGTTTTTGGCTTCAATTGCTGGCACGATACTAAGTTAATGGATTCTGGGAAAGCAGCACTTTGCAGCACTGTATTTTATTCCTCTCTCTTTCTTTACAGATTATTCAACACTTCAATATAACGCAGTCTGTTTTACAGTTAATATATCTACTTCATTGTACCAATTAACTAATAATTGAAATCTAGAGAGCCAGAGCCCACATTACTTAAAATTTGTGGTAAATACACCAATCTATATCATTAAGCACATGATCAACACAAAACAACAGTAATGAAACTTTGAGTCTAATCTTCCCGTGTTAACTATGAGCAACAAAATAAAAACTATGAACATGCTTATCACTACAAACATGGCCTAAGGTGCTAACAGCTCCTCCACGATGAGCGAGTTTAACACAAACAGATGATCAGTGTCCACAGAGCCAGTGAACGTCCACAGGAGCGTAGAATAAATTAAACCATGAGGTCGTTTAATAGGAGAAACTGTGGCTTTTTGTTCACTCAAATTAATCATATCAAGGATTAAAATCAGTGTTATTGTCAGGGTTTACTTTTTGACAAGACTGTCAGCATGGCATATTCATCCTCAAGTATCTTCAATCCATGATGGAAACAGAGACACTGTACTATAATGCCTTAACAGTACCATAGACATTAAATTAACCTCCTTTACAAGGACACTTCCAGATGTTCTCAATAATATACAATTCATTCGTTTGACACATGCAAATTAGGAATTATATTCAGTAAATATTAATGTGTCAACCTATGGCTCTCGCAGGTATTTTCAAATAAGCCAGTTGCATCTGATACAAATGCAGTATTTGTCGTACAGGTTAACATGTTTGCAAGTCTTGTTTGGATTTGGATTATGTTATATTTTGCCCCCCATTCAAGGGACTGACAGTACCCGAGTTCACACAGTATTTTCACATGAACTTGTAACTGCAAACCTATAGAGAAATAGCCATCGCAGTTAAAAGACTTAAAGCACAAACACTGTTATTACTTTTACGTTTTGTGGTGATTTGTTTTAAGGTCTGGTAAACTTTTTTTTTTTTCTTTTATTGTTTGTACTGAAATTGTTATCAGCTTGTTTTACAAATTATGAAAATACTGCACCATATGATCTTGTTTAAATGTTAAAGTATAATGAAAATTGGTCAGAAATATATTTATTCTCTTCCTTTATGAAAACAATGTATAAAAGATACATTTGAAACATGTAAAACTGAATATGTGACATTTATTTGAATGAGGCTCAGTATGGCATAGTTTATAATGTTGTCAGGTTCATTTAGATGCCATGACTGTTGTTGATTTTTTGTCAGACAAGTACATTAAAAAGAACAATGTTTGCAATCAAATTACCTACTTTTTGAAACAGAGAGGGTGTGAACCAATATAACAGTATTATAGAACAGAATCAATGTGTGTATATTTGGAGAAAATAGGATACCTTTTGATCTTTAGAGCCAGTGTGTAGTCATAGTTTTCACACACTTGCGTGTTTGACGATGTGCAGAGAGTATGGTTGTGCTGCATGTCAAAGTTAACCTGTGTTTTTGAGGTGGCCATTTTACAGGTGTTCATACTCTTTATTAATGGAACCAGTTTTCTTCCAAAAAAACCTTTTGGTTCTTAAACCTGGTCTGAAAATACATACCTCCTACAGATCACCAGGCCATGTTTGTTTGTGATTTATTTGAATCAACTTTGCTGATAAACTAAAACTGCTATTCAGAGTCATGATAATTATTGTGGCACATTGGTGACAGTCTGGAGTTATGTTGGTTGCTTATCTAAGCAGTTAAGACCATGCTAGTATTCCATATGAAATGTACTGGATGTTGATTATTTTGAATAATGGTATTAACAAGTCCCTTTTATCCAATCACTATTATTTGCAATAAAAGTCTTCATGTTACAATATAAACCCATATCTGAATTAATGAGCACTCGTAGGGGTTTGTCATTATCACTATTATTATTTGAGCCAGAGTGCGCCATTGCAAGTGTTCTCTTTAAAACATAAAGTTTCCCAAAAACTGTTTACAGGCTTCTTGTTTTTAGACTTCATAATCTTCATAATTTTCATGTACGTTTGGCCAAAAGTGGTTTGTTGGAGAGGAAAAATATCACTCTGCACTATTTGAATTTTGAAAAACTTAACAAGGGTTATCGTCGTTTTACTGTTCAAAACGACCAATTGAGTAGTGAGTCTGTTGGTCAATAAACAATCTTGTTAGCTGACAGCACATTTCAAAATTCAACCCTGTACAGCTAAACCTAGCAGATCCTAAATGATAGTTAGAATCCCTAAGTTACACTTTCATGAACATGACACATTAATATTTAGAAATCAGGATCATTGAAAATTCAGGACTGGACTGCAACTTGGTCTGTCAGTCTGTGCAACCTGTAACATTAGCAAATGTTACAATTAAATCAATTTAGGACCAATTTAGATGTTATCTGGTGTCTTCTATATCTTCTATCCTCTATTCAATATGAACTAAAGCTAGCATATAGTAAACAAAAGTCAGAATTTCTCAGTTATACATCACACATTAATATTTTCATCATCTTAATCAGGATCTTTGGACATTCAGGCCTGAGCAGCAGCTTATCCTGTAAATCTGTGAATTGTTATATCAGTTAATGTTGTGTTAGCTAATGTTAGCCATCATTACAATAGCTAACTCTAATAAGTACTGTTTACTATCAACTAAACCTAGCATATAGTTTTTTAAAAGTTTGAATCCCTCAGTTATAAATCACACATTAATATTTTAATCACATAAATAAGGATCATTGAAAGTAGCTTTTTTTCTTATTTGGTAACATTAGCAAACGCTACAACAGCATCAATAGCTACAACAGCAACATTGTTGTAATTGTAAAATTAGCTAATGTTACAATATCGGACATACATTATATCCTTTATTTACTATGAACTAATCCTGGCAAACACTAAATAAAATTAGGAATCCCTCAGTTATACATCACACGCTACTAATTTAACTTTAATCACTTAATTCAGGATCCTTGAAAGCAGCTTGTTTTTTTACTCTGTAACGTTAGCTAACGTTGCCACAGCTAATGTTAGCAAAAGTTACAATTGGAAACATTTAGGAAGGATTAATTTAGATGATATCTTATATCTTTAGCTTTGTCATTATTACCAGAAGCAGACAACTACATAGCATTCACGTCTAGATATGATTTCACTTTTGAATGAAATGATTGGAATAATAAAAAAAAGTATTTGTATTGGTACTGGTGTCAAAATAGTAAAATGAAGAAATGAAAGAGAATAACAAGATTAGTTTGCTGAATGTAAGCTACAGTAAAAAAAAAAAAAAAGAATGATCAGGTTCTTAAAAGCTAAAAAATTTCTCAAGGACACACAGTTAAACCCTGGTGAAACAAAAGGGGTGAAGTTGACCCTGTCTTCCCTATTTTGTTCATTAATTTCCAAAACATTGTCTTTTGTTTAGAGTAATCATAATCATCTGGGTTTGTTCAACCACCTTTCGTACAAACACTGAGGGGACTATTCTCCAGGATATGAGGGACATATCAGTCTGTTTGTACAGTGTAGCTTGAGTTATTGAGTCATCTTAATTGTGCCATATCATGCATATTTGATCCCCTCCCCTCTGCCCTCAAACACTATAAATCCTCCAGAGCGCAGATGGCCAGATGCCACAGTACATAGGATTAATCACTGTTTGCACTGCATCATCATTGCAGACAGAACTGTGTTGCTCAGTATATGATCTGGAGATATTTACAAACATAAACCACTGCTCATGCATCCTGTAATGCACCTGGGGTAGATTATGCTTTTTTCCCAGCAGCGCAGGGCTTTTGAGTATCCTTTGACCTGAATACACTCTTGACTAAAACATCCACGGCTGTGTGTGACCTACCTCATAAAAGCTCAGCTGAAAAAGTCATGTTGATGTACAAGCTGAAAAGGGGCCACGCCACCCACCTGCAGAGATCACTGCCTCACCTCACACTCCCGGCCGATAGTGGAGGAAAAAGAAATCTCTCCACTTTTA